TAGGAACTATCCATTAAATGGATATGAAGAGTGCTTATATTCGGACTGTACCATACAATTGAGAAATAATTGAGGATGATTGGATCATTGTGTGGATTTTAATATAATTTCTCAAATTCTTATATTTCTTCCTTTTTCAATTAATCACCATTGTCATAACCTGATTTCTCTTGTATGCATAATTTCTATTTTCAAGGACTCCTCTTTTAGGGAATGGTTCTTAGCCTATTTTGTTTTGTTTCTTTCAGTTCTGGACACCATTGATAATCTAATAAAAGCTATGGACTTTCCCCTCACATATATGCATATATAAATAGTTTCATACAATTATACTTTCAAATTGAGAGGGTTGAGCTGTATGATGCTCATTCATGCATCATCCTTTGCTTCCCCAAGTTGAAAACTACCACTTTAAGAAATAGAAGTTAGTATTTCAGGAAAATTGATATATCACAAATAAATTGGCAATAATAGGCAGAAGAATGAATAGAAAACCAAAAATTCTGCTGTCTTTTCTACGCTGCCTTTGACTTCCTCTCTTCTCATTCACCCCCTTTCTACCACTTTCAAAATCACATCACTACAGACAGATTGGCCAAGAAAAGGAAAATTAAGCTTTACCTGAGAAAGTGACAGTGTGCTGTGATGGCAGATATTGTCCCAGCTACCAGTGCTGAATGTTCCTAGAGAATAGATGTATATTCCAGAAGCCTTGGCAAACATTCCAAAAGTTGCAACCAAATAGTCTTCTCTCACCTTGTCCACATTCAGAATGATTTCCAAATCCTCATTTTGTTGTGCTATCAGTGAGAATCAAAAGGGAAACTTCATACCTATAATGCAAAGTACATGAGCAGCAAGGATGGATGAGTTCATCCTATGCATTCTACAAAATATTGAAGGTCTAAGCCCCAATTTAACTGAAATACACATATAGAAGGTCTGAATGTCAAGAAGATTTTGAGGCAGCCTGACATATTGGGGCAGGAGGATGCAGGAAGTCTATTATCAGATATATCTGAGATCAGATTTGATATATGATGTCTTTGATGCACCAGGGTTCTGATAAGTTTCTTCACACCTACCTCTCAAGGTTACGTAAGAATTAATGATGATGCTAAAATGTACCTGACATAATTTATTTATTCATACATTCATTTATTCATTTAGACAATAATTAAATAGCCACCATGTTCCAGAATGCTGTTCTAATAGCAGTAAGGGGAAAATCCCAACTTTACCTAAGAACAAATCAATGAACTACAGGAACTCATAGGGGATATTCCAACAGATCCATGATAGTTTTATTGTTGTTAACAGATCAGATCATCAGAAATGTATTTGTTTGCTGGCTGCTTGCCTTTTAAAAAGTTATTAATGACACTGATATCCTACTTCTATTAAATATTTTTGAGTTAATTTAAAATAGTCTAAAATAAAGTTCATTGAACTCTGCTAATAAAAACAATCTAACTTAGATTTAGTGTGATTGATAAACTATCAGTAGTTTTTTTTATAAAATAGAGTCAGAATTATGATATAGCCCCAAAATTCTCAATTTTTTTTTTCAGCTTCATGCTTTAGAAAGGATATTTGGTTTCAAATCACTAGTCTCAAGAAATAGAATGGAGTCTGCAACCATAGAAGTCCAAGCATGGCCTGGAAATTCATTTCCTTATTCCAACGTCATAGATGTGTTTTGTTTTTCTGACAGAGATACATATTAGCTTTCAACTTCCCTTGAAATTAATCCACAATAAATTATCAAACATTAAATTTTCAATTGCATCCTAACTTTATTGTTAGAAGGAAAATATTTAAACTAAGTATTATATATATAGTCTTAAAAGTCTATGACCTCTCCAGAAATTTTTATATCATTTCCTTGAAATAGTTGTCCAATTTCTTAAAAATTAGCTGATGTCATAGTAGCTCACAGTGGGAAATGTGTGTAGTTTTCATTTGACATCTACTCGGTATGCCTATAAGATCTGCTTGTGTGGAAGTGCGCTTCCTTGAATAAAGGAAGTGTTCTTTTTCTTCTGTTGCTTAAAGCTAAGTGTATTCAGATGTTATTACATCAATGAAAATTTCGGCCTTTTTAATATGAATATCTTAATGCATTTTAATAGCATAAAGTCCTTCAAGTGATCTCAGGGCATCTACTTTCAGATAAAATGATCAGACATGGCCATCTGCATTAAAATAAAATGAAGTGTCAAAAATGGTTTAAAACAGTATTTTTTTTTCTTTAGTTCTTTCTTTTAATTGACAATTTTCAGAATAAGAAGAAGGTGCTCTATCCAATGTGTTTCATCATAGCCAATTCCTGGGATACTTGGAAGTTGAATTAAAGATTCACCATTTCATCACTTTTTCATCAACAATACAAACTCTCCTAATGAATAATAATGAGGGAACTGTGAACACCCGTCTTTTCAGTTGGCTCAAAACAATGGATCTCAGACTTAAGCATGCATCAGAATCACCTAGAAGACTTTTAAAATGCAGATTTCTAGGCACTATCTTGAGACTTTCTGGTTCAGTAGGCTCAAGAAATTGCATGTCTAACAGAGTTCTTGGCTTAATTAAATGGTGGAAAAAACATTCATTGCAAGTGTAATGTTTAGACCAAACTTCTGAGATGTGGTATGACAAGTAATTTTACTCCTTTACTTCAAGTAAGCTAAATTATTGCATCTTTTGTTTTGGTCGTGGTGGCTTAACTAATCAAATAACTCATGTAGATGCACTCGCTAGCATGTGTGAATCTCTTTCATGCAGATTACTTAGAATTATTAGGAATGTGTTACTTATAGGAGCACTATCTATTAAATATACTATAAGAATGCACTTGCTTATGAAGGATTTCCACCCCAGAATATCAAGAAATCTCTCCTCATTTGCCCTGCTCCTTCACATGTACTCACACATTTCAGGAGGTACTTCTTCAACATGTGCACTTAGGAGTAGAAGTCTTTTTGAAACAAAATTGGCTCAAGGGAGAAGGGGATGCTACATCTGCTCACAAGTAACTTTTTTTTCCCTCTCTCTTCCTTATAACTGCCGAAAAGAAGGCTCTTGTCCAATTCCTCTGTTATATCTTTATACATGTAGGCTGTCCACAAACAGTTACCTGTGTATCACATCTTCTTCCCTTGTACTTTCATTCTTTCCTTTTTATAAAACTGGAAATACAGGATGTCTATCTGCACTTCAATATCAAAACACCAAATATGCTAGGTATTTAGGTATAGTAGATATAATTGCATTCTCATCTACTCTGATAAGGTTGGGGCCATGTTTGGGCAACATCAAAGTCATTACACTTATCAAGGTGCTATGGTGTGAATAAATGGTAGTGACTCTAATTTAAAAAACAAAAATGATGATGATAACTAACATTCATTGAACATATACTAGGAACCAGACACTGTATTAAGAGATTGACATGAATTTACATCAATAATCAAAACAACGCTAAGAGAAAGGTAATCTTTTTATTTGAAACCTAGGAAACTGAGTTTCAGAAAGAGTTAAGGAACTCCCTTAATGTCACACAAGGAGTAAAGGGTAAAACCATGACCTATATCAAGGTAGATTTATTTCAGAGTCCATCACCTTAATGACACCTCACTGTCTTAACCATGAGTTATATTTTGTGTTGTTTTTTTTTTTTGTTATTTTGTTACTCAAGGTAAGTATAATTATAAGACATTTCACAAGGTCCTTAACAAAAGTAAAACACCTACAAAGTAAAAATATGTTCCATTTTAAAAATGGAGAAATAGAAGTTGAATGAAGTTATTTCATCTATGCCTCAAATAGCCTTAATGCACTGCTTCTCATATAGCATGTGCTTGATATAGTGGAAAACTCTATGACTGCTAAATTGTTCTGAAATTGTGGTTCTCACACTTGTTTAGGTAAGGTTACAAGGCAATGATGTCATTTTCTCAAAAAGAAGTGATCCATTTTTTTCTCTTTAATGAAATTGGCAAAGTTGAATGGAAAGCAGTTGTTCAAGCAGACATAATATATTAGGCATCATCATTACATTCTCTAAATTTCATAAACCTGAGAGCATTTCCCTGTTAATTTTTTTATGGTAAATTTGATATTGCCCTGTCATGCTTCATAGGCTTTTTTTTCCTAGAAATTATGTTGTAGATATTTATAATAGAAGTATACGCTATAATTTTTTCTACATTAGCTGTTGCCCTGTGTTTCGTATTGAAATGATTAATATTACAGAATCATAAATATGAATTATTAAGCTAATTCTCTGACATCCCAAGAAACAACTTAGTACTAAGTTAATGCAGCTTGCAAATGAAATAAGCACATTCAACCGGCACCGATTCCAAGAATGTGTATCTATCCAAACAGTTCTCTGCACAATGGTAATTCTTCTAATCCCTATAATTTATTCATCTCAGGATACACTCCAAAGCATTGTTTGCATGTGTTATCCACTAGCTTTAAAAACAGTATTTATTATTGGGAGGGAACAGATGCAACTCTTCAGAAAGGTTTGCTGCAGTAATATTTGTGCTGAGGAACATTCCATTTGGCAAACCCTTGTAACCTGATGAGTAAAAGGAAAGAGGAGTTGTGAGGATTCAAGATTTAAGTTCTTTACTTCCAAGATCCTCCCAAGAGCCACACTACAATCACTGTAACAATTCCAAATCTCATTCTAGATGCTTGTATATACTCAAACTGGAAAGAAACCTGTAATTGCCCAGTGGAATTTTCAAATACCCTTAAATTTGCTATTTCAAGCCACAGACACCAAATAACCTTAATTTTCCTCAACTTATCAAAGTTGAGGTTTTAAAGTAATGAATGTTTCTCCTTATTCTTGGCACAAACCATCTGTGATGATTTAGAAAACTGAAAAATCTTTCTTGGACCAAAAAGGATGTCACTCAGCTTTTAAAGGCAGCTTAAGCCCTCTGATGTCATCAGAAATGCTGACGTCAAGTTTTATGTTACAGGTCATTCAAACAGTGAGTGCCATGGACAAAGATGATCCCAAAAACGGACATTATTTCTTATACAGTCTTCTTCCAGAAATGGTCAACAATCCGAATTTTACCATCAAGAAAAATGAAGGTAAATATATTAACATGGTGAAACAGGGTAGAATATAAATTGGAAAATAGGATGTGATTTCATAATATGACTGACTATATCAATAAAATAATTTTTGTTCATCCATGAGCAGTTGAAACCCAGCTTATCAGCATAATGGCATGGTAATTACATCACTTCCTTTTTCCAATGTTGAAACAATAGATAAGAAAATTGTTAATGTGAAAGGTAATTTTATCCCAGGGAATACCTCAATCACCTTACTTTAAAAAATGAACAGTAAGATTTAACCCCTGTGAAAGTTCCAGGAATTTTGAGATACTGAGATTATCTGTTAGAGGAGGAGCTGGCATATACTTCACAGTTGTTAAGTTTTAATTGAATGTTTACCAAGTCTTTAGGGAAAGTCTATTCTAATTTTGCCTGATTTGTGGGTACACATTAGAGGTATTTGTTTTAAGCCTGTACCAACTTTGACAATAGCAATTAGATCAGAAAATCCTTCTTGAAGGGCACTCCTTATCAGTATTATTTTGGAGCTAATATGAACTGATTTTACTGTTAAGTCTTTCAATCACAGAGAACATTTAATCCATTTCATTATTTCTTGAGAACCAAGCTTGGATTAACCATTTCTCTTAACTATTGTCTATTACATATGAAGGTCGTAGATCATTAAAAAAAAAAAGTCAATCTCATCTGTACATTTTTGTTTCCTAAGCTGCTGTATATTTAACAAGGATTTTCAACTGTTTATTTTAGCTCAGATGTATTTAAGTCTTAGTTTCAGCTGTTTTAGAATGATTAGCAAAATAAATGTACTGTCTCAGGCTGACTTCTGGCTTTACTATAGGCATTTGCTTAGATTTCTGAATGGTCTACAGAAAAGCTATTCCCAGTTACAAGAGTAGAAGTTGGTTCATGACATTTGTTGGATTATTTTCTATGTTCTGTTTCAAAGAGTTAGTGAATTTTCATAAAACTTCCTTTATGAAATAAAATAAAATTTTATGGCTCTTGTTAAATATATTACAGCCTTACCTTTTAACATAATGCTACTCAGTTCTTTGGGAATGCTTTGAATAAATGAAGAGGCATCACAGAAAAGAAAGTGAGAAAGTCGTTATATAGATATTACTCATTTAGTTGGCTTCCACTTTTATAAACACTAAGGAAACGAAATCCTGTTCTTTCTCCTCAGTAATGGAGTACTCATTTGTTAGCCTCCTCTAATTAGGAACTCTGATCCAAATACATTGTCTTTGTTTTTCAGTTAGCACTGCCAAGATTTCTTTTTATGGAAGTCATGTGAATACGTCTTATATTTCATAAGATGAAAACCTCCTCAGAAATCCCAAACTGAGTTGAAAGTCTGTGCCTAAGTGTGGTTCTTGCCTACTTTGATTGTGAGCTAATAGGTATTGGTCATTATTTTTCATATAAAATGCCCAACATTTAAAAATTCTCTGTGAAGAAATGGTTTCCCAACTCCACTGTTCGGAGCTCCTTGGCATCTTCTGTGCGTTCCGCAATTTCAAGATACACCTGTTGTTATAGGGGTAGCCTGTCGAAGGCACTACATGGACATGTGCTGGATGAATGAGAGGTTATTGGGCGCCAGTGAAAGTGTAGTTTTGTACTGTATTTATTATGCTCTAAACCTTTTGAAGAGGAGATTTTAGTTCTACAGTGAAGGAATTTCATGTGTTTTCTCTAATTTTTGGAGGTAGTAGAAAGTAAAAGTTTGTACACTTAGGAAACCTCTTTTGCCCTACATTTCACACATTGCAATAAACCCTGTAATAGAATATTTCAAGACATGTAGATTATCTGTTTTACTTTGAAGCTAGAAAATGGAAGTTACAGTTTTGTGCGTGTGTGTGAAATAATCGAGAAAAATATGCCAGATATTGCAAAATGAGTTGACACAGAAAAAGCACTCTCTGTACCATAATTTTTTTTTAAATTATATGTTTATTTATTTTGCAAAGAGTGATCATATAATTTATTGTTCCAACTGGGATATTTTTTAAAGTGAAAGGAATTGATATTTATATTTATGCCTGGAAAGCCCATAAATCAGGACTGTTTTATGGAAACTAGGACATATGTTCACTGTGATTTTGGATTTAGGATCCAAATGTTCAACATCTCCATAGAATAAATCATGAACTCTTAGAGTTTTGAATTGATATGTCAAGTTTATACTCTATCTCCCTTTTCCTAGATCAGAAATTCATGAGTTTTGCTCCATAGACCACTACTTTTTTGACATCTGGATAAGTTACTGTGAAAATGGAAAAAAGAATTTGTCTCTTCTTAACATGTAGAAACAAAGTAATGGAAAGAAGCTGTCAGATTTAAAATGTTGGAAATATATAGACAAGTAGGTAGACAGATAAATATCTTGTGAGCCTGTTACCCGTTTCCTGTTAATGGTGAAAGAACACAAAAAGACCAAAAAAAATCTAAGTACTAGACATTATTTATTTTAAAACTATGATATATTTATGTTTGAAACATGGAGAGAATCAAATGGTATAATCATATTTAGAATTGTTTTTTCTTCTTAAGATGGACTTTAAAATGGTCAATAGCTGATGTTTCCCCACTGACATCACCATGATTTACAACCTACATCTCGCCCACCAGAGGAAGGTTAAGATTTTGAGAGAGCCAATATATCCAAATCCATAATTGATGGGTAGATGATCCCCCTATTTAATTAGAACTTTATAGGAGATAGTTTCAGTATTTGGCATTTTCTAAGGAACTTGCAGTCGTGTCTTTCAACTTGAAGTTACTGTGATCTTTCTCCTCTCTCATAAATTGGTCCTTCTGTAATTTTCAGCTGACTAATTCATAATCAAAGACAAAATGAGATAGAAATTAGCTGTCTCTTGTCTTCTGCACAGTTGAGTGATTTCACAAATAATTCTCTTTCTGAATATAGAGAGTCATATTTCTTCCAGAATAGGAAAGCAGCTTTCAACACAAAAAAAGGTAAAAGCCAAGGTAAAAAATGTGATGAGTCATTTATATCACATAGACACACTGAACAATCATAGCACCTTGAATTTTCTAAATTATATGGCCCAGACAGTGGTTCCCAATCTTCCAGTTGGGTGAATTTATAAACAAAAGGAGTTTTGCTGACCCCATTTTATTATTGCCTTCCATTCTAACCATGAAAATGGAAGATACTCAACAATTACATATAACAAGACAAGGAAGATAAATGGACCTTTTAGAGATACAGAAATATCTTCCTTACAGAAAACTTAAGGTCTACAGAAACCTGATCTTCTCCAGCCTGCACTTTGTAGTTAAAAGATTTGATTGGAATTGCCAGAAAGCAGTCTGGTGAAATGGGAGTCTTCATGTTTTAAACTGAAATAATTGGATCTTGAGTATAGAGAAATGAGGAATAACATAAAGCTCTGCTCCCTAGGGAGGGCCTGGGGGAAGGAAAGTAGTAGACAGTGAACTTGACCTTAATCATAGCTTTGTTAGACTTAAGAGAAGACAGGAGGGGAGCCAGAGTACCTGATGACACTAATTTTTTTTTCTTCTTCCTGATATCTCCTTTTTGGCCAAAATCCATGGATGAGAACCTCACTCCAAAGGCATAATTGTGCAAAATAATTTGGATGATGTAGATGGTGACTAGCACCCTGGAATACATGCGCCTTGGATTATGTCAATGTTCATAACATGATTACCTGTTTAGAATATAATTCAGGCTTTGTTTTGTGCAGTTTCCATCTCAACTGATTGACCAACTTCATGCAGTACATGTTTTATGTCTTTGTATCCCCTAGAAGCGTCCCTTGTAGGAACACTGACCACAGGCAGATTGTTTTAAGCCTTAGTTTCCTCATCTGTAATACCAGGATAACAATACCTATCTGACTCATAGGTGTTCTGTGATGGATATGTGTAAACTAGGGCTAGACAGCTCTTAGCAAAATGTCTGGCCCATAGAAAAACTCTCATCAGTAAATGGGACAAGATCCTCGCTATGTGAATCCACCAATTCCTAAGTCCTCATGCTATGTTCCATCTCTTCTGGCTCATCATTCTCAACCAGATCTCTTTGCAGCTTTAACTCTTTGATTTTTGAATGTTGTACAGTAATTCTGAAAGTGGCCGCATTGGTAGTTGTGAAAACCCCTATCCTCGCTAGAAGCATTGCAAAAAATCTGCTTAGCAATGTGTTGCAGTCTAAAGGGTATTCGAATAGAAAGATAAAAGGAAAAACAAAAAAGGAGGAAGAGAAGGTGGAGAAAGAATGAAAATATTTACCAGCCATGGAAATAGCTATAGGATTCCTGGATCTGGTTTTGCATATGAAGGGTTTTTTTCTTCTTCTTTTGACAAAATGAAACACAGCTTTCGCCACACAATGGCTAAACCCAACTTCCAACTTGTTAGGATTACTTTCCATTCTAGCATATCAAGTTGTTTTAAATCACCCACAACCTCCCAACACACACACTCTGTGGGAATCATTTTGCATAGGCTGGAAAATTAAAGGCAATCATTCTTTTAAATAATGTCAACTTATCTCAGATTCCTCTTGTCACAAAACTACAATTTGCTGCCTGAAAGGGGAAGTGGAGTTCCCTGATCCCAAGCCAGCCAGAGCTGACCCTCTGTCTTCCATCTTCTCTCAGGCTGAATCCTCATGCATGCCTCTCCCATACTGAATATGGTGCTGAGGCAGAGTCCCTCTCTTGTCTGCCTTAAACCAGCTGTGTCCCATCTGGGCTAAATTGGACCTGAAAGGTCTTCCTGATGATCCACACAGCAAAGAGGGCCACCTTGGTAAGCTGATTTTCCTCTTTCTAGCCACCTCGGGCCTCCTTAAGTTCTTCCATTACACCAAGCTGCTTTAAAGCAACACAGGACTTGCTGAAATAGCATCTCGTTCCTCAAGTAGGCTTTACAAAAGCCTCCATCCCTCAGCTATAGCAGATCCATTATTATTGGGTTTCCCAGGCAATTATACCTAATCAACA